TGCTACCAGGAAGCTGATAGCCAGGTAGTATTGGCATGAGCTCACTGCCATCTCCAAATGGGCGGTGGTCACTGACGAAAATATGAAGACGCGTGAACATGAGTGTGAGGCTGCTCGACTGATTGTAGTGGGGAATGAACCCAGGGCCTCACACTGAGCTACATCCATGGCCCTTTTTTTGTTTTGTTTTGTTGTTGTTTTGAGACAGAATCTTACTAAGTCACTAACTTGCCCAAGATGGACTCAAACTTGGAATCCTCCTACTTTAGCCTTCCAGGATGCTGGGATTTCTCGCATGTAACACGTTTATGGGCTTTTTTTTTTTTTTTTGAGACACAGCCTCGATTCATAGTCCAGGCTGGCTTTGAATGCATGGCAGTCCCCCTGCCCCAGCCTCCCAAGTGCCGGGATTGTAGGTGCGTGTCATCACACCTGGCTGGTCTTTACTTTATTCACTTTGGTCACCGTGTTCTCGGGGTGGGTCAGAAGGGAAGGAAACTCACTAGCCTTATTCAAGCCTGGCCCAGGATCTAGGAAATTTGCTTGATTTGAGGTTTTTTTTTTTGGTACCGGAGATCAAACTCAGGACCTTGCACTTGCGAGGCAGGTGATGGAACCACTGAGCTAAATCCCCGGCCCTGCTTGATTAGACTTTGAGGGGTCATACTTCTGGGCCAGTTTCTCAACCAACTTCTCATTCTCGAGTTTCTTTCTCTGGATATCTACGCAGGGTCATGCCCGGCCTGGGCTGTGTGGCAGTGCTGTCATTCCCCCAGGTCACACACAGAGAATCGGGGCAGAGTGGACTTACATCTCAAGACGCCCAGGAGTGTCATAATTCTTCAGGGAGATCTGCAGCTGACTATTTGCAAACAGGGCTGGTGCCTGTGCTGGACTTCCTGCAACAGCTCGGAGCTCGCAGGAAGCCTTGTAGAGGCGTCACTGCTCGGGCCGCCCAGCCCGGTGACTGGGAAGGAGAGCTGCCATCTCACCCCTCTCCTCCTCCTTCCCTCTTCTTCCTCCTCCTCCTGTGGTTTGGGGGACCAAAGCCAGGGCCCTGCTCGTGCTAGGCAAGTGGGCTACACTGAGCTACATCCCCAGCTCCCACTATATTTCCTTACCGGAGCCTTTTGAAGAAGAAACATTTTTGTTTTTGGTACCGGGGATCGAACTCAGGGCCTTGTGCTTGTGAGGCAGGCGCGGTGCCACTGAGTTAAATCCCTGGCCAAAAAAACATTTTAAATTTTGCTGAAATCCAATTCATGGTTTTTCCTTTCACATTTCATGTGTTTATGGCCTATTTAGTTAATCTTTGCTTAACCCAAGTGCATTCAGATTTCCTCATGTTTTATTCTAGAAATTTTATAGTTTCAGCTCTTTCGTTTGGTCTATGACCCATTTCAGTGAGGCAAGAGATTCTGAATCTCAAATGAAAATGCCTTTTAGAAGACAGCTTGAACCCCACATTGCTGCACAAATGTGTATTCAAACACAGTTTGTCTCTTCCTGCAGCCCAGTTAAGTGGAAGGAGACGCAAATAGAATTGCTATTTATTACTCTACCTACTTCTGGAAGATTGGAAATTTCTTACTTTTCATCATTGTAACATGTGTCATCTTTTTTATTTCTAATAGCATTCATATCTTTGCTAATTTTATTATTCAAGCATTTTATTTTATTTTATTTTTTGATTTTTTGAGACAGGGTCTCACTATATAGTTCAGGCTGGCCCTGAACTCTCTATGTAGCCCAAGGTGGCCTCAAACTCACTGCAATCCACCTGCCTCAGCATCCAGAGTGCTGGCATTAATGCGCCACCACACCCTGCATGGGCTTTTGACCCATTAACATTTTTGTAAATTTTTGCCTTTTATACTGACAGCCTTGATATTTACTGCTAAAAATTTATAAGAATATTTTATTGAGGAATTGTTCTATAGTTATAATTGAATGTACCTCTGTACTTCTTTACCTTTTTTTTAAACCTTGATTTTTTTTTTTTTTTTTTTGGTACCAGGGATCGAACTCGAGTCCTTGCGCTTGCGCAGCATGCGTTGAAACCACTGAGCTAAATCCCCGGCCCCTAAACCTTGATTTTAAGTAGCTTGATATTATTACTGCTATCACAATTTTCTTCAGGTTATTTTATTTTTTTGAGACGGGGTCTCGCTGTGCAGTTCAGACTGGTCTTGAACTCACTGTGTAGCCCAGACTGGCCTTGAAGTCAAGGCAATCCTCCTATCTCAGCCTCCCTAGTGCTGGGATTACAGGCATGCACCACTGTGCCCAGCAGTTTTCTTTAGGTTAGTACTGGCCTGGTAAAATATTTTTCCAATATTTTATTTCAATATGGCTTTGGTTTACAGTTGTCTCTTGTAAAAATATATATAGCTAGATTTTTTTTCTTTTAAAATATCATATGGGGCCGGGGATTCAGCTCAGTGGTTTTGCCGCCTGCTGCACAAGCGCAAGGACCTGAGTTCGATCCTGGTACGCCTCCACCAAAACAAAATCATATGAAAAAAATCTCAAATAATTAATTCATTAATTAAATTTCTGTACTAGGGATTGAACTCAGGGGCTTGGGCTTGCCAGGCAGGCATGGCACTGCTGAGCTCCATTCCTGGACCAGATATTTTATTTTTTGACTTGAAAAAAGTTGTTATTTTGTTAAGCCATAGGGTAATCAACTTCACCAAGGTATTTCGTTTTCATTGTTTTTTGTATTTCACATTTTCTGCTTGTTTGAAAAACCAGTATAATAGTGGTTCAGACATCTGAACTATGATCATCCTTTGAATGACGTTTAGGTACATTTAGATTCTAGGTTGAGAGTGCTTTTCCATCAGGGCTCTGATGATACACACCTCTACCTTTTGTGCGTCATGGCATCAATTTAATGGTCATTGTTACTGTTAAGTAAAATGAAATGTAATGAAGTAGGAAATATTAGAGTGAATAATATTTAGTTCTGTGTCAATATGTATAAGTATACATGGATATATACATAGCTATTATGTATATATTCCATAGTTAAAACTGGCCCAGGTAGAGATCAAGATCGACAATATATGAAATTGTAAAAATTTGTATTAAATCATGTTTGGATTAATGATAAATATTAAGGTAAGATTCATGCCCTTTTCAGATATCATAAAAGTAATCCAGGGCCAGGGGTTTAGCTCAGTGATTTCACCGCCTGCTGCACAAGTGCAAGGACCCAAGTTTGATCCCCGGTACACCCCCAAAATAAATAAAAGTAATCCATTCATTGATTTATGGACTATAAAAGCCTTGATGGAGAATCTAGTGATGAGCAGATGCTATTTCTTTTATGTGGAAGAGGTACATTTTTTTCTTATAGTGGTTGAACATTTTCTAGCACCTAGTAAAGACAATATTCTAGAAATATCTATCCATGGTAGCCTTTAAAATTGGTTGTGTAATGTTATTAATCCTATAGCTGTGATTCTAAATGACTTCATGGTTAGAAATGAAACTGGGTTTTTGATGTTCTTGTTGTTGAAACAGGTCCTTGCTGTGTAGCCTTGAACTTTGTGTGTAGCTCTGACTGGCCTCAGACTGTCCATCCTACTGCCTACAGAGGTGTACCACTGCACCCTGCTGAAAATGTGGACTTTTTTTTTCTCCCTGGCACCAGGGATCAAACTCAGGACTTTTCTCTTGTGATGCAGGTGCAGTGCCATCGAGCTAAATCCTTGGCCCAAATGAGGACTTTTAAATGACATTTAAATTAGTTGCACAACACTTTCCAAACCCCATTATATCAAAAGAATTTAATGTCCTGTGGAAGTGACAGCTTGAAGGGCCTTTTGAGACTCTTCTAAAGCACGTGATGATATAAAACAAAAGCAACTAGGAAACAAAATATGTGCATGACTTAAAATGTATATGAAGATAGGTGTAAAGGAAAGTCTAAGATTAAATAGATAAAGACGGGAAAGTACTAAACGTTATGTGTATTTATTTGCAGTATTGGGAAATGAATACAGGGCCTTCGCACTGAGCTAACTTCATATCCCTTCTTTTTTTTATTTTTAAATTTGAGACAGGGTCTCGCTAAGAGGTTACATTGCCCAGGCTGTGTTTGAAATTGCAATCTTCCTGCTTCAGCCTCCAGGAGTGGTGGAATTAAAGGCATGGGCCACCACGTCTGGCTGTGTATTCAATTTTTTTTTGGTACCGGGCATCGAACTCAGGTCCTTGTGCTGGCAAGGCAGGGAGTGGAACCACTGAGCTAAATCCCCAGCCCTATTCATTTTTAAATTTTGTGTCTTTCAGAGTGTAGAGTATCTTCTCTCAACTTGTACCCTCAGTGTCTAACGTTGCATAGTACCCAGCTGGCAACTGATAAACGTTTCTTAAATTTTAAATGAATTGCCGAGTGTGGTGGCACAGGCTTGGAATTCTAGCACTTGGGAGGCTGAGGCAATAGGATCGCTGCAAGTTCGAAGTCAGCCTGGGCCACATAGTGAATTCAAGGCCAGCCTAAACTACATAGCAAGGCCCTGTCTCAACAACAACAACAACCCCCAAAAACAAATTTTAAATGAACTCATAGAGGTAGAAGTTTAGAAAGTAAAGCCTGAGTCACATTATCGCTCAGAAAACAGGAGAAGTGAAGATTTGGAGTTGCTATTTTTAATCCTTATCTGAATGGGTATCTCTGATTTACTTACATTTCCTAATTGACCAAGGCCAAGTTTCACAGCTTCTTCTGGGTGAGGCTATCCTTTTCTAAAATCACCTCGTGGCGCCATCTTCCGGAGCTGTAAGGAAACTCCGAATTTAAAATCTGCACAATCTTCGTCAAGGCTCGCTACGCTCCTCCCATTTAGTTTTTGGAGGCTCCCTGGGCGCATGCGCTTTGGATGACCAAAAAAACCCCAAAAACCCCAACCAACGAGACTCCAATTCCCAGAAGGCCATGCCACAGGGAAAAACGGAAATCTCGCGCGAAAATGCGGTCACGGCGGCTGGGCGGAGTGGGCGGAGAGAGTGAGGAGGAAGAGGAGGCGGTGCCGCCCCACAATACCCGGCGGGCGGGCGGTAGGCGGCGTATCCGGGCTGTGAGGCGCGGAGCCGCGGCAGAACCTGCTGCCCCTGTCTCTTGAACGCGAGAGGAAGCGATGCGGAGGGGAGGAAAATGGCAGAGCTGCAGATGTTACTAGAGGAGGAGATCCCGTCTGGCAAGAGGGCGCTTATCGAGAGTTACCAGAACCTGACCCGGGTGGCGGACTACTGCGAGAACAACTACATCCAGGTGAGCGCGGCGGGCCGCCCCAGCCTCGCTCGGCCTGGCCCCGGCCCTGGCCCCGGCGGGCGCGGGCGGGCGGCCGGACTGCGAGGCAGGAAGTGCCGCGGCGGGGCGCCGATGGGAGCGGACGAGGGAGCCGGGCCGCCGCCCGAGGCCCGGCCGCGCAGGAGCTAGCGGGGCGGGGGCGGCCCGAGGGTGTGTCGGCACGTATTCATTTATTTTCGAAGATTTGTCCTGAGTCACGTTGCCCGGGCTCCCGGAGGCGGCACGGAAGCGCGTGCGGGAGAAGTTAACCCCCGAAAGCCTTCAATGGAGCGCTGCCAGTGGGGTCCCCACCCGCGCTCGTTTGCACTTCCGCCTCCCGGTCGTCTATTCTCGTTACCGCAGAGCGCGAATTATTCCGAACTGCTCGGAAAAATGTCTTCAGTCCTCTCTCTTCCTCCCAAAGTTCTTGGACTGTTGGTTTCGTGAGTAAAAATAGAAGGGTGTCTTCGCCGGGTGCCTATTTTCCGAGGTTTCTCTTTCTAACCTAAGTAAGTGTATAGGAGTTGAATCCAAATAATTGACAAACATTTACTTAGCTTTTTAACCACAGCGTGCTACACCAATTTTTCTTAATTTATTAGAAGATTCTTGGAACTTTATAATAACTTTTTTTTTTAGTTTTGGTAGTTGGAAGTGGTAGCTTGATTTGTAGGTCTTTAGTGTGTAAGCTTAACAGTTTGTAGTAGAGACAAAGTAGTAGAGTCCTTTGTGTCAGTATAATGACATCAAAAATTCACTTGTTATTGGTAAGACAAGACCAGAATGTGCTGTGGGAAGGTTAGGGTTATTGCATTTCGGAGCTGAAGTGTTTGTGGAAGTGCTCCCATGTGATTATCATTTTTAAGAACCAACGGTTTCTGTGTTGGCAAATGCTTTTCCTCATTATTTTTAGAGGGAGATACTGTTTTCAGAATATTTCGAATATTTGTTTCCATGTTAGTAATATTGCATCTTCAGTTGCACTAGGAATTTGTAATTTTTTTTTCAAGCTTTTACTTTAGGGATTGTTGAATGCTTTCCATGTCTACTGTATTACTTGTTTTTGCAAACTTTATATTTAGCCTTTAAGAACACTTTAAAATCTTGTAGCAATGTGGACATAGTTTACAAATAGAAAAGTGATCGTGTAGGCTGTCAGTATTAAAAATATGCAACTTTTATTCAGCTTACCAGGAAAAGTATTGAAATTGAGGTGAACCTTAATTTGCTGAAAGTTTTAAAGATTTTGAAAGGAAGAACCCAGGAGGTTAAACTGACCCGGTTTTAGAAAAGTCCTGTCTTCTCTGTAGAAGTCGGCAGGAAGGGGTAGCTCCTTTTTGCTTTGCTTGTTGGGTAATCTGACAAGTATATGGTGTGGTAACTGCTATGTGTTGGCAGGTGTTGGTAACTAACCTGTTTTAACTTGTCTCTTGACTGTTTCTTCTTTAGATGGTTGTATGCGCAATACTTTTTTTCTACCTTCACCCATTTCTTTTCCTCTCCTACCACTGTTGTAACTTTAAAGCATCTTAAAACTTGATTGGTGATATCCCTAATTAAGATGTCATGTTATACCGGAGTGTCAAGGACCACTGGCCTTGGGCTCAAGTTTTTTCTGTTTCTTTTTTTCTTTTTGGTGGTCCTAAACCTGAGTCCAGGAAGGTATTCTGATCTTACTGAGAAAAATGAAATTCGTGCATAGCTATGATTGTTACAGTATTTTAGGAGTTTTTATAACTTCGGGCTGCATGATCCATGCCACCAGTTGCCTCCTGAGGGCCTTAGATCAAGTTGGGGTCAGACAAGCTCAGAAAATGTGGATGTTGGTGTGGTAGGAGGTGCTGCCAGTGTAGATGCTATGATTGAGAAGCAAGTGCTGCTAGAAATATCATTTGGGTGTCTGTTGAGATCTTATTCTGCACCTGTCTGTATCTTGATTATAAATAATACCCTGGATAAATCCACTTCCTTTTAGGTATATAGTCACTTGTGTTTTGAGAATATTTAATATTTTTTACACCTATGTTGAGTGGTTGTTGATTAAGTTATTGCTTGGGTGATTTTTATTTTGTGAGTTCAATTTTTTCCTACCTTTTTTTTTTTTTTTTTTTGGGTACTGGAGCTCGAACTCGGGTCCTTGTGCTTTTGAGGCAGGTGGCTGAACCACTGAGCTAAATCCCTGGCCCGTGAATTCAATTTTTTATTTTGCTATTTTCTTAAATTTTGAAAGTGCAAGGGTGGGGGATTTAAGCTCAGTGGTGCTGCTGCCTGCCTTGCAAGCTCAAGGTCCGGAGTTTGATCCCCGGTACCAAAACAAAAAAAATCAATTTCTTAAATTTTGAAAGTGCAGTCCTGTTCTACTGAGGAGTTCTTTTGGCCGCATGTTAGCTCCTTGAGTCCCATGGACTTTATTAAATTGTATTAGTAATGATAGAGGTTTCCAAAAGGTTTCACTGACCTACAGCCCCTCCCCCCAGTACTGAGAAATGAACCCAGGACCTCTGCACTGAACTATATTCCCAACCCTTTAAAAATTAAATTTTTTTTTTTTTTTTGCTGTACCGGCAATTGAACTCAGGACGTTGTGCTCACCTGGCAGGCACGATGTCACTGAGCTACATCCCTGGCCCCCCAAAAATGTGTTTGAGGTAGAGTTTTGCCAAGCAACTCAATTGTCCAAGCTGTGCTCAAACCTGCTGTGCTTCTGCCTCAGCCTCCAAGGTTGGAGAGTCAACAGATGTGTGCTGTTGTGCCCTACTGGACAGGGTTTTAAAAGTTACAGGGGAAATAATTCTGAAAATAGAAAGTGTTTGTTTAGGGACTATAGAAATGCCTTTGCTATTTCCATCTTTATTTGTTTTGACATGATTGAATTTTTCTGGTATCTATGGACAGGATGGTCACCCCTTAACTTGGACACACTTGGTCAGTTCTCTCTGCTGTACTTTAGGGTTCTTACTACCTTTGCTGTGGAAACTATTTTGGGGAGTAGGAAGGAAAGAAAGCTAAATGAAGAGTAGAAACTGCTTGAGAAGCTGAGTGTGGTGTCTTATGCCTGCAATTCTAGCATTCAGGAGGCTGAGGCAGAAGGATCACTTGTTTGAGAACAGTCAGGACTACACAGTGAGACTCTCTCAAAAAAAAGTGCTTAAGAAAGATTTCTCAGGATGTAGACTCCTAGGTTGGGTAAGGACAAAAAAAGTCTTGCATACAGTTTAACTTTTAATTGAGATTATTTGAGTTCCACCAACAAAAACTTTGTTTGGGTTAGGAAGTATGTTCTAGTCCAGTGGTGGTGAACCTATGGCACTTGGGCCATACTGGGCTGGTTATCATTGAAAGCTCTAAATAAGGTTTGCCATCACTTTTCTAGTTGGCAGTTGTACATTACCGTCAGCTAGGTGGTTTAGATTGCTTTACTCAGTTCCATGACCTTTGCTTAGTTTTGCACATTTTAATCTTGGAAAGCAGGTAATTTTTGAACAGGAGCGCTTGTATTAAGTGAAAACTAATCTTTCTGGTATTATACAGTTTATGCCAGTTTATAAACTATGTCATTTAATTACTATAATTCTCTGCTTCTCTTGTACCTTTTTTTCTTTCTTTTTTTTTTTTTTTTTTTTTCTGAGACATAATCTCCATGCATTGCCCAGGCTGGCCTCAGAATCCTGGGCTTATGCAAACCTCCTTCCTCACCCTCCCCAGTAGCAGCTGGGACTATAGGTGTGGGCATGTCACTGCCCATCCCTTCTCTCTCTCTGTTTTTTGGTTACTGGTTGAGTAATCTGTATTCAGAGACATTAAATTTTTTTTTTTTTTTGGTACTGGAGATCGAATTCAGGTCCTTCTGTTTGTGAGGCAGGCGGCGGAACCACTGAGGTAAATCCCCAGCCCAGAGACATTAAATATTGAGCCTGAAGTTCAGTAGCTTATATAAAATAGTGCCCAGAATCAAACCTAGATTTTCAGGTTCCAAATTTTAAATTCCTTTTAATAAATCCTGAATAGGCCACTTACTACAATATAGAGGTTAAAAAGAATTTACGAAGAGGATAACAGCCCTCAGTGACCATAGGGTATTAGTTGTGGCACCCTGAAGGATACCAGAATCCCTGAATGCTTAAGTCATTTTATATAGATATATATATATATTTTTTTCATTTGTATATATGCATTCCATGTATTTCATTATATGAAATGAAGTAGTGTTTGCATATAACTTACATACATTCTCCTTATAATGCCAAATACAATGTAAATGCCATAAAATGTTGGTACACTGTATTGTTTATGGAATAAGGACAAGGAAAAATGTCTGTATGTTCAGTACACGTACAATTTTTTTCCTCAAACGTTTGAATTACAGGTTGGTTGAATCCACAGTTGCTAAACCTGCAGATAAGGAGGGCTGTAATTGATTCTTTTTACTGAATTCCTGCTCAGTCTCCTAGATGATTTGTATAATGTTTAGTATATGTGCTGCCGAAGCGAGCACAAATTGTATATTTAATCCTTTCAAACTGTTCATGATAGGCAGTGCTTTCCTGAAGATGAAGAAACTAGGTCTTGAAAAGTTAAACATTTTGTTTGATCATACAGTTAGTAACTGGCTGACAGGCTTTCTAACTGACAGACTCTGCGCCTATGCACTTTTTGTATCACACTATTTCCACACGAATGAATTTAGAGCTCACTAGGTTGGGAATGTCATGGAGTAAATAGACTCTTGTTGAACAAATCTGGAAATCTACCAAATCTTTTAGCATTGTTTCTTTTAAAAATGTATTTTGAGTTATAAGTTGCAAATATGTGTCTGCATAGATGTGTCTGTAATTTGGAGACTTGCTTTCAGAACCTCCAAAAGATGGTAATTTTCATACTTGAGTTGACTACTGGAATTATAGGTCAGTTTTTCACTGAGATCCATGGATTCTTTTCCTTTCTATGCATCTCCTTGCCTGTTTTTCCCCCTCTTTTCCTCT